AGAAATGCGTGTTATATTAAACATCTACATATGTAATTTGTATAATGAGACAGGCTCTATAGACATCATGAACGATTTATTTATATATTTTCATCCCAACTTGTCACTAGAAGACGCTGCAGCTCAACTAAAGTAGCTGATTTAGGGTCGTGGTTAGCAACTTTCCGGCTCAGTTCTTCCCAACAGTGCTCAGTGGGATTACAATCTGGAGACTTTGCTGGCCATGGTAATTTTATAACGTCTTACTGACCAAGATAATCTTGTACAATACGCACAAGTGGTATTGACATCCTAAAACACAAAGAATTACTGCTAAACCTTGCCTTACCATATGGTAGAAATATCGTCTCCATGTAATACCTGTAGCAAGCGCCATTGACGTTTCCCTGGAGGATATGAAGAACGGTTTTTCCATCATGATGAATAGCTGCCCAAACTTGTACTGCACCACCTCCTGTGTGTTTTCTGTGGGAAAGACAGTCTTCCCTCATCTGTTCTCCAGGTAAACGACTAACATGAATCATACCATTAGCTTTAACAAGCCGGAAACAGAACTCATCTGAAAAGATGACATGTCACCAGTGTCGTAACTGTAAATTGGCATGCTATCTTGCCCAAATAATACGATGACGGCGGTGAATTCTGGTTAATATCAATTTGCAGATAGTCCTTCTTGCAAAATAACCTTGTTTAGTCAACCTGATATTCACTGTTCGTTTGGATACCCTAGAATGAATGTGTTCATGCCATTCCTGTTGTAAGGTGTTGCAAGACTTCTTTCGACCTTGAACTGTTAACCTGATCAAAACACAATCAGCTCGGGTAGTAGTATTCGGCGTATACCAGTAGACTTTCATGGAACAACGTTTCCTGTGGTCGGATGACGTTTCGGGATTTTGGATACAGTACACTGGGGGATACCCTAATTTTCTGACAATGTCCATTTGCTTCATACCATTTCTGGACAGTCGAACAATATGACGCCTTATAACTTCTAGTACTTGACAGGATATGACTCTACACCTAGTATCTCAGAGAAATTATCTGAACAAAGCATTGATCTGTTTCGTAAATATATTATGTCAAAAGCACGCCCTTTTATGCAAAACAGGTGTGTATGTGTGTTTTGAAGAACAAATGCTCTAAAAACTTATACAGACCAGAATAAGAACTTCTACATGTTTGTCCTATCATACTCTACCTTTTCTGTTACTACTCGGGCATTAACTCAATAACTACTCCATGCACGTAGACAGTATAAAACAGTAAACAAACATTTTAGTCAAACTGTATAACTTTCATGACACAAACTATCTACAGGTTAAAGAAACAAGAGGGATTTGCTGCAAATTTTGTTAAAATAGAATATCTAAAGTATTAAAGAAATAAAATTGGTTATTGTGTAGTTTGATTCAGTGCAAAGTCCAATTGTGGTTTTTCTGGGCTGTGTCCATCGCTGGGATTGAACCCTTAATGCAACGTTATAAGCCCAAAACTTATGAGTCAATGGGAGGATAATTTCAAAATAAATACACTTCATGACGTCAAGTATCTACTTAATACAGGAATTAAGAGGTTTCATTATATTTTTATTGTTGCATATGATATAGTTAATAAATGTATAATAAAAAATACATTTTAAATATAGTTGGTTTAAAATTCACAGTAATGATTATAGTTCCACTTATATTTTTATAAATTAACTGTTATTTATTCATTTTTGCAGCACACACACAATGTTCACATTTTAAACGATTGAGGGCTGATGAATATGCTAACAATACAAAAGTTGCAAAAAAATCCTTATTTCAGTTACATAGTATAAGTGTAATGGGATTTAAACTGCCTACTGTAAATTAATTGCTTTTGAAAGAAGCTGTTAACTGATGATTGTGCAGTAACATGAAAAATAAACTAGTATACTTTAATTATTTGATGGTTGATATTTTTGATATATAAAAATATATATTGAAGTCTCTGTATTTTCTTTGGATTAACCTTGAGTGTTTTTTATTTTTTGGCTATATCACTTAAATTTAATCAGTGGATCCTTAAGGACAAATTCTTCTTTTGCCAGAAACATGATCAAAATCAGATTAAAACGTTTCGAGTATATAGTTGATCTTATGAGTGATGTTAACCTTTGACCTGAATTCACCAGATATTAATCAATTGATCCTTTGGAACAATCAACTTTTGTACCAAATGTGGCTAAAATTAGATGAAACTTTCTGAATTATACTGCACTAGCGGGGTTAAATATGACTCGCTTCTGAGCTCATACTAAAACTCGTGTTACAATTTAAATTAAAACTCCAAATTAACTTCAATAAGTCACAAACGGAAAATACATGCCAAAATAATTAAGTAAAGATAAAATAATTACAGATGAAAGTGAAATTGAACAGAAGTAACCATTAAATGAAAATAAAAGTAGCTAAATAGAAAGTCTCGGAATCAAAAACAAATCACAAATCAAAGTTCACACGGCAAAACGATATTTAATAAATGTAAAATGCAGGATTTGAATTTAATTACACAAATGAATGAATGAATGACTAATAAACTAACAACAACAATAACAAAAAAAAAACTCTTTGGAATTTCAGCTGCTAATTTAAATGTAATTAGGGAGATGCCAGCCATGAAGGAAGGAAAGTTTTACATTGTATAACCTCCCACCCTCTTTATTGTTTGTAAACTTGTTTATGGATTACCTGAAACTGTAACAAAGGTATATTATACAGTTTTAAATATTAACCACAGAGTAATTTGTACTTCTCTAAAATAAATAGACTTATTCATTTAATGTTTTAAAATGTCTGTTTGGATTGCTTGTTAAGCAAATAGAGCTGTAAAAAAACATATATTTAGAATTTCTAATGATGTTTATTGCTAGTCACTTGAAATTAACAGACCTATAACTGCGATTTATAACTGTGTGTGACACCTGCTTTCTTCTCACACGAAACTAAAATACATGTACACATGAATATGCTTTTAAAGTTGTCTATGGACAATACTCTAACTAAATGAAACCGACATGTACATGTTTAATGTTTACAGTGTTCTCTAGGGACCACATTTAAGCAACTTTCAGCCTTGAGGGCTTTATAAGGTAACGATCAATCTCTTTATACGTTAGAAAAAAAGAGTAGCCCAAGAGTTAGTGGTGGATAGTGTTGACTAGCTAACTTTCCTCTAGTCTATCACTGTTAAATTAGGGACGTTTATCGCAGATAGCCCTCATGTAGTTTTGCGCGAAATTCAAACCAAACAAAATCGACGGACTGTTCTAGATGACTGAAACAAACATATATATATTTTATGTTTATAGTGTTGTTTATGGAAAATCTTCTAGCTAACTGAAATCAATAATTATATCCCTATCTCTACTGAAGTAAACTAAATGTTTCAATAAATGTAATAACTTGGTTCTTAAGTGTTGTCTATGAACAATCTTCTAGCTAACTGAAATCTGCGTGCATATATTTAATGTTTATAGTGTTCTCTATAGACAGTATTAAAGATAAATGAAACCAGTGGATATATATATGTAATGTTTATATTGTGGTCTATAAACAATAGGCCTAGTATGACTTACCGGTTGATCACAAATTCGAATCCCGTCAACGAACGTGCTCGCCCTTTCAGTCGTGGGGATGTTATAATGTAACAGTCAATCTTACTATTCGTCGGTAAAAAGTATTCCAAGACTGACAGTGGGTAGTATTAACTAGCTGTCTACCTGTCTCTCACTTAAACATTAGGAACGGCTAGCGCAGATAGCCCTCGAGCAGCTTCGCGCGAAATTCAACAAACTATAAATAATATTCTAGCTAACTTAAATCAAAATATATATTTAATGCTTACAGGGTTATCCATGGGTTACTTGCAACTACTATTGGCATACATTCAGTCACTTCAATCTAACCAACATATACAGTTGACTGTGTACCACCACCAAATTACTTCAATCTAACCAACATATACAGTTGACTGTGTACCACCACCAAATTACTTCAATCTAACCAACATATACAGTTGACTGTGTACCACCACCAAATTATTTCAATCTAACCAACATATACAGTTGACTGTGTACCACTTCCAAATTACGCCAATCTTACAAACACTTGCAGATATTTGTGTGTTAACACCCCCTAATTACTTCAATCATGCCAACACATGTAGTTGTCTGTGTACCAATTGCTAGTTACTTCAATCTAACCAACGTATGCAGCTGTCTGTGTACCAATTCCTAGTTACTTCAGTCTAACCAACGTATGCAACTGTCTGTGTACCAGTTCCTAGTTACTCCAATCTAACCAACGTATGCAGCTGTCTGTATACCAATTCCTAGTTACTTCAATCTAACCAACGTATGCAACTGTCTGTGTACCACTTTCTTATTATTTCAATCTATCCAACATATGTAGCTGTCTGCGTACTATTTTTAATTACTTCAACCTATCTAACATATGCAATTGTTTATGCATTACTTCCTAATTACTTCAATGTGAGCCACACACTGTTTTAACTGTTGTCATCTGAAACAAACTGATTTATATTTAACGTTTTTTAAAATTCTCTGTGTTGTACTTTTCACCAGTTTGAAACCAACAGACAAATTTTGAAAGTTTAGTATGAACAACTTTTTGGTCACTTGAATCTAGAAAACATATGTTTAGTGTTTATAAAAATGTCTATGAACTATTTACTGCGTACCTGAAACTATAACAGATACACATGGCGATTTTAATGTTTTATAGGCAGCTGGAGTCAGTAGACTTATTTATATTAAATGATTCGGAAATGTCTTTGTGAAGTAAGTAAATTCTTGTAGCCTTAAAATATGAGTTATTTTAAACATTTTTTAAACTGTTCTATAGACACTAAATGTTCATAAATGTGTCCGCTTTGTAGCACTTGTCTAAAATTAACAGATATTTATTTGAAGTACAGAGAAAATAAACGACGTATATTTAATGTTTATGAAGGAGTCTATGGACTACTTGCCAGTTACCTGAAAGTAACAGATAATTCTCCTCGAAATGAAGAGGTCATCATTATGAATGGGCAAGTACATGTCTGTCTTAAGGGTCTGAATTAAGTTTAATAAGATATATTTATGAATTTCACATACTCCAATTAATAATAGGCTTTATTAAGAGACACATTTTTCAATTATTATTTAACTTTAATGTTATTTATTAATAATAATTCAATGGTCTACATTAAATCGCGATTTCTGGTAGTTCCAGAATCTTATCACATTGTTTCTGATTTTTAGTTAGAAAAACATAACTGTGGGAATTGTACACACACATATATATATTCCACTGTTTGAAATTTGGGCCAATCATTTTTTTTTTTTTGCAGGTGTGTTTTAAAGTTAATAATTATATCCCTATCTCAACTGAAGTAAACTAAATGTTTCTATACATGTAATAACTTGGTTCTTAAGTGCTCGTTTACTTAGAAATATTGTACAAAGATATCTAGCATTGTTGTAGTTTAATGTATGAAATAAATCCGTCTATAAATGCTCGTTTACTTAGAAATATTGTACAAAGATATCCAACATTGTCGTAACTTAATCTCTCTATATTATTGAGCACGTTGTACAGAAATGACACGAGTTTCACTATATCCACATTTACTTTATCGTTTTAACAGTTATATCACTATTATTTTCTATCTTTATTTTGTTTTATAATGAAGTACTTTTATGATGTTTTCTGATTGTCTTTAACTCATGTTCACATTTTGTTTTTAAATCAACAATACTGAATCACTGCCGTTTTATTTCACACAGGCTGAAGTTCTTTTTGTGTTTTAGACATATTAAACTAATGCTGTATTCATGCAAACTTTGTAGTCCAACTTTTATCAAATGAGCCAAAGACTCCAGAATATTACCAAATATTTCTTACATGTAGTTTTTATTTACTGTGATCTTGTGGCTTCAGTGTTTACGTTTTTAACCGTTAAAATCTGTCTGATTATATAAACATATACAAGTTATAAATTTAATCGTTGGGTACAAAATACAGCTGATTAATCTATATTGTTTTTCCAGCTGCTCAATAGATCCGTACATATTCGGAAATTTCCAGACTCGTGATGGTGACACTCTCACCGCTAGGTTTAAAGCCTTCAAGTTTCCACAGTCTAATTATGTGCTTTTTGTGGGAACCGTGAATGTTTGCATTGACAAGTGCCAGGGAGTAAGTATCAACATTATCTTTTTTACAAAACTGACATTCAGCAAAGTAGAAAAAAACAAAACAAAAAACAGTAATAAACTTCAAAAATAAATTAAAATTATAAAAAACTGAGATTAAAATTATAAAAAACTGAGATTAAAATTATAAAAATTATAAAGCATAGTAACTAGTTTTTTTTTCTCCAATAAATAAGGCAACTGTCTTTTTGAATCAGTAAAGTTAAAAGCGTATTTTGTAATCGTAGAGCAACTTTCTTGGTACAGTAAGGTTAAAAGCAAAAGGAAAGGACTATTATGGAAATAAAAACCAATAGTAGACATGAGTTTGTACTCATATGAGCCATTGGACTTTGAGAGAGGGAGAGAAAGGTGTGGATAAAAACAAGCTTGACATGGCATGAACTAGTGGCTCGAGAGAAAAGATCGAAATAGAAATAAGTATTTAATCACATGAGCTACTAGGCTTAGAGAGAGACGGTAGGAATAAAAATATGTTTTAATCACATGAGCTACTAGGCTTAGAGAGAGAGACGGTAGGAATAAAAATATGTTTTAATCACATGAGCTACTAGGCTTAGAGAGAGACGGTAGGAATAAAAATATGTTTTAATCACATGAGCTACTAGGCTTAGAGAGAGAGACGGTAGGAATAAAAATATGTTTTAATCACATAAACTAGTAGGTCGAAAGAAAGAGTAGGAATTAATACAAACTGGAAATTACACAAGCTACTGGGTCGAAACAGATGAGGTAGAAATAAAAACAAGTTGGAATCCCATGAGCTACTGGTTACAGAGAGAGAGAGAGTATGAATAAAAAGAAGTTTGTAATTAAGTGAACTACTGGGTCGAAAGACAGAAAGTAGGAATGAAAACAAATGAGAAATCATATGAGCTATTGGATCGAGAAGAGAGACTAAGGAAAAAAAAAACTTAGGGGTCAAAATAGTAAGAATGAAAAGAAATTGAAAATCACATAAGCTACTTGTTCGAGAGATACAAAGGAGGCATGAAACAAGTTGTAACCACATAAACTGTTGGGTCCAGAGAGTGAGTAGGGATAAAAATAGGATGATGAACTCATCGTAGGTGTCTCAACTTGTTATTATGTCATCAATGCCTAGATTTCATTATATGTCCTAAAAAGTTACAACTAAAATTATTAATTGAACTAATTGTGTTTTCAGTTAATGATTAATTGGCACATGTCATTAAAGTTTGAATACAAGTAAAACCAACACTTTAATAAGACAACTGTTATAACACTGTTACATATGTCAATTGTATCACACACATAATCATAATTTATCTATTACTTGAACGAAGCAAATATTACAGCATAATTCTTTTTTACGATTATCCATTGTCACTTTATGTATAAAACATTTCGCTAATTCATTAGTTCTTTAGTTTTCGTTTCTCTAATTGATATACATCCTGAAAATATTTATCATACATAATGTATCGTTTTGATAAATAGTAAATGAGACAGTTAGTATAGCCAAAAGTATTTTTAAGTATTGATTTAGTACACATTTAAAATACTGATTATTGTTGCACTTCTATTTTTAATTTGCATGACAAACGTTTTGCATTTTCTGAAGTTTTATATGCAAAACACTTATCACTAATTCATTTCTATAACTAATATATCGTACATCTATTCACCCTGAAAAGGAAGCTTATTTAAATATCTTGTTTGTTTGTTTTTAATTATGCACAAAGCTACACAAGGGTTCTGCCCACCACAAGTATCGAAACCCGGTTTCTAGCGTTGTAAGTCCGCAGACATACTGCTGTGCCACTGGGGGGCATTTAAATATCTAAATAATATACAATAATTTTATTTTTAGCTATATAAGTTGATATTTTCACTCAAGTTTAGTTTTGAAAAATCTACGTAAATAATAATGCTTACCCATTACTATTGAATAAAATTATTGTTTTTACTTTTTGTAGATATTTACATTTTGAACATTAAATAAACTACTACATACAGGTGTTCTTTCTACTGCTATCTGAGGATCATTATTATTGAATGCAAGTGTTAGAAAGGTCAACACATACAATCATTAAATGGTGTGGACACTTCACCCTTATTGTATATTTAGTTTGGTTGATGGTATGTCGACCTTTTACTAAGAGAGGGGCTCATAGAATTCAAAGTTCAATATAACAGAAAAGAAAATATTGTGAAAGCAAAAGTTGAACAAGTCAATTATAATACATAGTATAAGTCGCTATTTATGATTATATATTCATTACTAAGATATAAATTTCATACATATATTTACATTATACTTAATATTGAAAATAAATTGTTCAAACTTTACATAATCATATATTTTCTACATAAATAGTGGATTATAAATTAAATTTTCACCATGCTTTAACTTAACTCGCGATGATCAGCTTTTATATGTCACTGAATATAAAAGTCAGTAAACCTAGTTTATTGCTTCTTCTCCTCACATTGTGAGACAAAACACTAAATGTGTATTCATCATATTTTGTTTTTCAAGATTTGGTGGGACAAGTTTAATAACATAACATAATATAATGTGTAACATAACGTTTAGAGACAACAAGGGACCTACTGGTCCATGTAGGCTGTCTCTTCCTCTAAAATAAATTAAAACTATTAAAAAAATCGAAGCCCTCCCTTATCATTCATATACTTATCAAATTCTCTTTTAAACTCATATAAATTTACTGCCTCCATAACATGTGAAGGCAACCCGTTTCAAAGGTCAACAACCCTATTAGAAAAATAAAACTATCTTAGCTGACGATTCTTTTACCCGGCCAAAATTTATATTTGTGCCTCTTAGTCTGACCATTCTATCCTTAATTATAAAAAAAATATCTCCCCTGACTCTTCCCTTTTCAATAGAAAACAATTTCATAAATGTTTAACCTCTCCTCATATGACAACCCCTCCATTCCAGTCATCATTCTAGTAGCCCTCTTCGGAACCCTTTCCAACAATTCAATATCCTTCCTAAGATAAGAAGCCCAAGAATGAACACAATATTCCAAATGTGACCAAACCAGTGACATATACAATGAAATCATAAACTTTTTAGGCTTGCATTCAATATTTCTGTAGATGCAACCTAAAATACTATTTGCATTAGCAATAGCACACTGCTTGGATGGCTTATGAGGCTGATCAAACATTACACCAGATCCCTATCTATCATGACACTGTTAAGGTTATTCCCATCCAAATTATACTTATAATTAGAATTATGATAACCCGCATGCATTATATTGCATTTATTATATATTAAACCCATCTGCCATTTATTAGCCCAACTCACTAAATAATCTAAATCTTTTGTAAAGAAACAGCAGCAGCATCACAGCCAGCAACACCCAAAACCTTAATATCATTAGCAAATATAAGTATTTTATTGACCATTCTTTCATCTATGTCATCAATGTAAATCAAAAAGAGCAAAGGCCCTAAGACTGAGCTCTATGACATTAATCCAGTTTGACTGAACTCCCCTTATAACAACCCTCTGCATCTTTACACTTACCCACTCTTCTATCTGATTACCTAACTTATCCCTATACATATAGAGTTATTATTTTACTAGCCTTTATGTAGTACCTTGTCAAATGCTTTCTGAAAATCCAGATACACCAAATCTACACCCTTACCCTAATCTACGTAAGCAGTAACCTTTTCAAAGAATATTAAAATCAGAATTTTTCTTATCATAAAAGTTGATATTATTGCATTTTTCCTTAAATATTTATTCAACCATATGAAACTACAGTTTATATAAGAACTGGATGTAAGTAGATGTAATATAAGATCACAAAATAATAACCATTATCAAACATGTATAATTAATTTCCAGTAAGTAAGAAACATTCAAAGTGCTTCTTCAATGTTTACATGAAAATTATTCTAATTGTTTTACATTGTGTGTAATGTTTTTAATAGTTAGAACTTTCTACTCATTCAGAAGTTCTGGAAGGTCCCAATGGATTTCACTAACCTGTTTGAAAACTTGCTTTAAGACAACATTTCAATTGGCTTGTGCTGGAAGGTCAAAATGCTGACATCAAGTCAAGTGGATAGTCCATTCAGACTTTTCAGATGAATTGCAATCTTCCATATAAAGGTTTTTTTTTGTATAACAATACTCAGGAGTTGATTGTTTGTAAAACCATTAATTATTCTGAATTGTAAAAATGTGGCATTAAAATGCTTGTACTTTTAATTTCATTTTATTGTTACTTGTAGTAGTTTAATATTGCCTTGCTGTTTGTTTTCTTTTTCACAGTTATGGAGGTTATGGCTCTAATAGACGATCTAGGTGAGCTAATATGTAATGATTATTTATTTTTCCAATTTCTTTCGTTGTAACATCTTGTTTTATTTCTTTCACTAATCCATTTTCCTACATATAGATTTCTGTTTTGTTTATAAAATTTGGACTATTAGTTTATAGTGCTCATTAGCCATCAAAGAGTTGTTTCTTATGAATGTGTTAATGTTCTGTATAGTAACAAACTTGACAACAACCCTTGCAGGCACCCATCTGGCCCCAACCTGAAACTGCCAACGCTCTGGGTGAAAACTACCCCCTGAGTTGCATCTTTTCGGCATTTACTTCTTGACCAACTACAGTATATATATAGACTGTAATTTCATGGCATACATCATGCAGCGAAGGTCTAGCTCACCAGTCAAACCTACAAAACATACAGCAGCCAGTGTTTATTCAGTATGGCTATGTGGGTTAACACTGCAGGCACCTTGTGGCTGACGTTTACTATCAACAGTTGGGTTTTCTTGCGTCAGGCCTCAACCGTTAATCTAAACATATGAAATTGGATCTGCAAGCTTTTCTTAATACCAGAATGCTGGTCTACATGAAATTTAGTGGGTGTGCAACTTTAACGGCACAGCCGTCCTACGGTCTACGTGTCTTCAAAGCACTACAACGGAAACGTCGAATTGGATTCTGCCACGTTGCAGTTC